ATCAAACTTCCCCTTCACACTGTCCCAGACAGCGATTATTTGCTGAGCTCTTTCAAAGGGATATTAACAAAACTGCAGTAAATCTGGAGTCCATGCAACTACACACTGGATTTTTTTTTTTTTTTGTCTAGACCGCCAAAGCCTCGTATTAACTTAAAGATGCTCTCTATAGCTTTCTTGTAAATGAACAAATTTATATTTACATTAATAATTTCTCACTAGAATACACTGAGTGAATCCTGGAAGTCCAACAAATACGTTTCTTCCTCATTAAAAACATTTTCAAGCCATTGTTTGCTAGTTTAGTCTTCTTCTTCCTCCCTTGGAGGGCTGTTGTGTTTCTTGGCACATTACCATCACCAACTGTCAATGAGTGGAACAGAATGAAACTGTTGGCAGAAATGACCACAGTGTGACTTTGTGTGTGTGTGTGTATGTGTGTGTGTGTGTGTGTGTGTGCATCCTCGTACATGATATACAGTGCCTTGCGAAAGTATTCGGCCCCCTTGAACTTTGCGACCTTTTGCCACATTTCAGGCTTCAAACATAAAGATATAAAACTGTAATTTGTTGTGAAGAATCAACAACAAGTGGGACACAATCATGAAGTGGAACGAAATTTATTGGATATTTCAAACGTTTTAACAAATAAAACACTGAAAAATTGGGCGTGCAAAATTATTCAGCCCCCTTAAGTTAATACTTTGTAGCGCCACCTTTTGCTGCAATTACAGCTGTAAGTCACTTGGGGTATGTCTCTATCAGTTTTGCACATCAAGAGACTGAAATTTTTGCCCATTCCTCCTTGCAAAACAGCTCGAGCTCAGTGAGGTTGGATAGAGAGCGTTTGTGAACAGCAGTTTTCAGTTCTGTCCACAGATTCTCGATTGGATTCAGGTCTGGACTTTGACTTGGCCATTCTAACACCTGGGGGGGGGGGGGGGGTCTCTTTCTCATGCAGAAAGCTATTTACAGGGAAATGCGATGGATTAGCTGAAGCTCATCAATAGGGAGCGCCTGCTCACCCGGTGCTTTACAGACTGGCCACCAATCGAAGGGAATTTCAATATTTACCTACATCCTCGTTTTGTTAGTTGCAGTTAAGCAAACACGCAATTCGCTAATTCATGTTAGTGGATGAGTGAGACTTGTTTAAGTATTTTCCTTCCACGCTAATGATGATTCATTTGAATGACTTTAGGTGTGAATTTTGACTCACGGGCCATTGAATACAGATAAACAACAGGGTGGTTCGTTTTAACATCTATCCATGAGCCAATTTAACGATCATATTACAATTACATTAACTGGGCAGATAGTTTTGTTCTGACCTATTGTACATATGTTATTTGTCTGTCACACACACACACTCCTGCAAACAGAAGTATATAAAATGTATTCACACACTGTTGGAGTGAGATGAAATACACAAGGATTAAAGGCACCCAACACCACAAAGTCACATCACAAAATGCCAAAACAGTCAAAAGTGCATTCATCAGTCTACATGAATTAAATCGATCGTTTCATGTATTTGTTTTATACAGTGTGGCTCCGATGGCATTAGTACCCCTGCAGAGGCAGATCATGAGGAATTGTTTAGTGTTAGGCTGTACCGGAGATCTTTGAGTTCTGAAAATCATTTTCGAGCTGAGGTTAACAATTGTTTAGGTCCTTTTGATGAAGGAAAGCAAAGCAACAAATTACTGAAAAAGTCTAGTTTGTGTTGGCCGCTACAAAGTATTAACTTAAGGGGGCTGAATAATTTTGCACGGCCAATTTTTCAGTTTTTTATTTGTTAAAAACGTTTGAAATATCCAATAAATTTCGTTCCACTTCATGATTGTGTCCCACTTGTTGTTGATTCTTCACAAAAAATTACAGTTTTATATCTTTATGTTTGAAGCCTGAAATGTGGCAAAAGGTCGCAAAGTTCAAGGGGGCCGAATACTTTCGCAAGGCACTGTAAAAACCACATGAGGATCCATTCATAAAAACATGGATCTATAGCACTACTGATAGTCCAATACTTCACCGTGTAACTTTAAGCTGACCTTGAGAATTGAATTTGTATACAGAAGAGTCATTTTTCAGAAAAAACAGATTTGCTAAAATTGAAAGTGTACTAGGAAATGAATTTAGGTTAATTCTAAATTCTCAGACATATGCATAGTGATCGTGATAACATCATATTTTAATCATCATTACCAGCTACCACACTAATGTAACCTCCATTTAAAGCAAATTCATTACGACTTTAAACGTTTTTGTGTGCTTTTCTTCTCTCCGTGTGTGCCAGTCTCATTTTCTAATTCCCCTCTCACTTTACTGGCAGTGAAACAAATGACTGGCAGAGGCGGAGATGAAGCAATGGTCGGTGAGGAATTGGCTGGTAAATGCAAAGTCCTTACTTAAAGCGGGGTGCCAGTTAAAAGGGAAAAAGATATTGAAAAAGCCAGCTCATCTACCCCTGGTGCCAGGGACTTTAACAGCCTGCTGTTTTCAAATGAACAATCTGTGGCTTTTGAACTTGACATCTTATTTGACCGAAGCATTCAACAGGAAACGAGCGGGTGAATGGAAAAGAGAAAACCATTGACTACGGACTTAAACACCAGCAGAGAGAGGGTGAAAAATGAAGCCAAGGACAGACTTATGATAATAACAGGGAGGCATTGGAGGTCTAATAGTGAGAGGGTGCTTATTTAGTTATGTAAGGACCAGAGCCAAACCAGGTCCTCCATCTACAGGCTTGTTTTGAGAAATCCTTGGTATTTCAACTGTCAAGGCAAACGTGTTCAGCACATGGCCGACTGAAACCAAAAGACCACTCCCCCCATCGTACAGGACTCCTCCATAAACTAGGTCATAGGCACAATCCCACCATCTGCCAGAGACCACTTGCCTTCAGTTTCACATTCCCCACTGTGAAGACCCCTGCCAGTCTGTGCACACAACCACACTACATACACAGATGCAAACCCCCACACACACTTGCCGGGGACTTCTCTGAACTACTTGAGATGTGAAGCTGACTTCTGTCAACAATCCATCTAAATGAGGAGCACAGGGGACAGCCTCGCCCGCAAACGTCTAGTGTTGCTTTCGTCAATGAAAATTATGACTAAATATCATCGTCAACGAACCTTTATCATGTGATGAAAACAAGACGAGACGCAACATAAATGCTGGTCATGTCACGATGACTATAATTAAATGTATAATGCAATATTGTTGATGAAAAAAAAGACACTAAATGTGGTTTACAAAATAAAAACTATGCTAAAATGTCTCTTCATTTTCGTTGACCAAAACGAAACGAAACGAAATGTTATAACATTATTTCATCTCGTTATTATTTTGCAGTATTTCTGTTTCCTGTGTCTCGCTTCAGGGGCTGCATCAGGTCGCACTGCGCAGACGCAGGCAACATCACTTCCTTAAGCCCCACTCGCGGCATTATTTAGAAGATGACAACAAACAAAGTTAAGTCTGACACATAGAAAGGGACCAATGGCCGGCCAGCCAGCCAGGGTTCATCTTTGGGAGAAAAAGAAGAAACAATATTTTATTTATTTTATTTAAATGTATGTGTGTGTACTTCTAACATGTTTGGTTGGTAAAATAAATGTTGCACATTCAAATCAGAGCGTCTTCCGTGTCTGGAATGGATGTATTCTTGAGTCTATAAGGTAACAATAATATAATTAGATAACCTTGTTTGAAATGGGTTTGGCTAAAAGAAAATTTTGGTTTCGTCTATACTACCAGGTACTTATACTATATTGACTGGATTAAATAGAACTGCATTACTAAAAAGAGACTAAAATACAATTTTCATTGACTAAAACTAGACTACTGTAAATGTCATCAGTTTTCATCGATTAAAACTAGATGAAAATAGTCATGGATAATTCTGACTAAAATAAGTCTAAAATGCTCAGACTTTTAGTTGACTGAAACTTGACTAGACTAAAAAGAGTATGAATGTGACTAAAACTAATAAAAACTAAAATGACAGCTTCACACAAACACGAGACTAAAACTAAAATTAAAACAGGCTGCCAAAAACAACACTACAAATGTCGAGGGGTTGTCTTTTTAGAAGCAGAAGCATTAAAAGTCCCATTCATAGCAAATGGAGGGAACAGTTGCTGCAGACTGAGCTGATGAACTTCACAGCAGCTGGCTGACATCAGCAAAAAGACCATCAAAAACATCATCAATTTCAAAAGCAAAGACCAACAATGTTCAAGCATTTTCCAGCAAATATAAGGCGATAATAAATATTTTTCAGTTTTGAATCAACTAAAGGTTTTTGTTTAGTATTACTGTTATTTTACCAGAAAGCATTTTATGAGATCTTATCATTCTTAAAGATTTCTAATGAATGAATTTTACTATCTACTTAACCACCAAGTACAAAAATTCAGTACAGCACAAATACACACATATTTTACATTTTAACATGCACCACCAGCCCACTGTTTGAGACATTTCCCAATGAACTGAATGAGAAAGTGTATCCAAACTTTTGACTGGTGGTGAATGTTACATCCACTGAAATCTGCTTGGTCTCTCTGCCATGCCATCCTTTCCTCATTGTAAAAAAAAAAAAAGTCATGAGATTCAAGTGAAGCGACCTCTGATGCGGTTCATCTGTGGTGTGAAAGCATGGTGGACCAACAAGTGGAATTTATAATTGCAAATATTTGATTTCACTAGGAATTTACAACTTAACCACTGTTTGTTTTAACCAGCTGATCTTGAGGTGTCAGACAAGCAGTCCTGAACTGTCTGTGGAGCTCTTATACTGTATATTTATGCAAGATCATCTGGCAACCACGGTGACACATACTGTACGTGCATCAACCCACGGTTACAGGGGTTCTGCCTGATACATCAGAAACTGATGTTAATTTTGTGCCCTGCCCTGTGTATTTTGGCAGTTCTTTATTAAAAAGTGAAAGAAATGCAGTGACCACATAGTAACGACTCACCTTCCAGGAGGCTGATCTTTGGCCCACACAAGCACACCAACACATCCAGAAAGGCTCCTCTGGTCACCACACAGCTATTCTGTCTGAAAACAGAGAGGGAGAGAGAGAGAGAAAACAAAACATAAATGTTTCTTTTGACTATTCAACAAATGAACCCTGGATAAGCAGTTTGTAATCTGATGCAGCACAGAGAGCTGAATATAATCAGCTTAACCTCAGAAAAATCTTCTTCTTCTTTCGGCTGTTCCCGTTAGGGGTTGCCACAGTGAATCATCTGTTTAACCTCAGAAAAATAAAGTTTTTTTAAATTCTGTTCTGGAATTTATTTGTTGGGAAAAACACAAAGTTCATGCTAAAGAATCTTTTACAATGACAGCTCCCTTTTATTCAGGAGGCTCCTTAAATGTTCCTGAAGCACTTAAAGAGATAACACAGCAGCCTGCAGTCATAGTTTATCTAGTTTCTGTTAAGATCATAGGCAGGCTCTTGTCTTACCACAAAATATTAAATTAGGTCAGTGGACATTTGTTAGTCAGTGATTCTTTTGGTTGTGTGGGTCTTCTAAGTGTGATCTCTTGGTCCCGATGTCATTATTCATCCCCTGATTAGACCTCCCATTGTGGTCTTGAAGTGGCAAATGCAGATGTTCCTACTGTGACATGTCAGCATCTTCAGTGAAAAATAACCTATTTTGCAGACTTGTAATCAACATAGGAGATGTGGTCTGGCTCAACACATCAAAACCCCAAACAAGTCAGATTTTAAAAGTATTCAAACCTTCCTGATAAGAAGAAGAAGCAGCTTTATTTTATTGTCATTGTAAAATTGTGACATGTACAAAGAAATTTTGGTTGGAGCCGAGGGCCCTAGGCCGCTGTGTGCATACGCACGACCATCACGGGCAACTTGGGGGTTCGGTGTCTTACCCAAGGACACTTCGACATGTGGACTGCAGGGACCAAGATTTGAACCTTCAACTTTCAGGTTGGGAGACGACTGCTTGACCACTGTCACCCCACAGGTTTCAATAACAGTGAGGCTGTCCTAGTTTTAAAAAATATTTTTATAGGATTATTAATAGAAAAGATTTTATAAATTAAAATAAGAAAAGTAAACAAAACAAAATTGCTGCTCATTAACTAATAAACTAAACAAAGAACCTTTTCAGCACTACTCCTCTGCATGTGGCCGTGATTGGTTGATGCATGTGGGTCATTTAAGCGCAGACAACCTGAACAAAAAGTGAATGTTGTTACTGGGTCAGCAGTTTGTACGAGAAGCTGTTGAACAGGGCAGTGATGTGTTTATGGGTGCTTCGTGGAGAATCCCTAAAGCCAAGAATGTCGAACCATCACGAGATGCCCCCCTGTAATCATGGAATTAACAAGTAATTGTGTGGATGCTGTTATCCTGTTCTTTATTATTGTGTGGAAGTGAAGCACCCACACTATGTTATCCTGTTCTTTATTATTGTATGGATGCTGACAAGCATCCACACTATGTTATCCTGTTCTTTATTATTATTATTAT